CTCATTTTTTACATTATCCTAAGGCTAAAGCTGATGAGCTTCTTTTATTATATTTTCTGTGTCTTATTATGTAATTATCGTCATTAATTATTTAATGAAAACAACAGTATTTTTTTAAAAAACATAATCACCGTATATTTGATAAAAAGTATGAAAAAATGGCAATATTTATTAGTCCTCAAATAACGTTTTATAAAACGTTATACTCTTCTTATACAGTTCATGATCAGACACTCAAAATAGGCCTATAATTACTTTGATTAGAAAAACGCATTAAAGCATCTCCCATATCAATCTCATAAACGTATACCTTCTCTAATTAATCTAATTAATCTACAGTCTTTTTCTTCCTTCTTCAAGTACATCGTCATTTAAATATAGTTTCAAACATATCTCTAAGTCGTGATTGTAAACTGAAGCTGAAAGAGGGGGATTAAATATACAAATAAAAATAAAATAAAAAAAGAGATGAGTAACTCAACTTTACAGTAAAAAAGAATGTGTTAAAGAAGTGTTTTAAATTATAAAAAAATACGTATAATTTTATTCAGATTATATTTGCATCTTAAAAAAGTATACACAAAATTTCAGCTATACATGGAAGCTGAAGAAACAGTTACTTCAGATACAATTATTTAGACAAAACCGTTACTTTTAGTATAATAGCCATCTCAGAATTTCTAAAGAAAGTGAAGAAGAACGGAAGTTTCAAGCAGGAAGTGTGTCAGTATTAAAGGAAGATTATTATTTTTATTCTTTCTTAAGTGATTCTAATATTTCGTGAGTCCATACGCCCCCTTAATTTGTGCTACAGCCAGATTACGCCGGAGCCATCTTTTACGCCTTGGGGATGGTTCAGTGAGGATAGAACAGGCAGTAGTGTCTGACATTGTCGTTTGCTGTTCTTTTAACTGCATTAGGCGCAAGTAGCATCGTTATTGTTACAATCTGTTATAGCTTCGGAGTGGAGTGAATAAATAGAGATTAACAAATTTTCTGAGTAAATAAACAGAAAAGGGAAGAATTTTGACAATTTATCTTTCCATTTGAAAAAGCTCTTCCTCCCCCCCCCTAAAGTTTCCTAGACATGTGCAGGGAAGTTTCTGACCATGTAAACCGGGGGACAAATAAAAGAACCCAAAAATCTTACGATGAAAGTACCTAATGTCCAGTCCTGGTCCCAGCCCTAGAAGGCCATTCTCGTTTTTCCAATAGATATCGTAGATGTTAAGGTCGATCTGCATAAATGTATGTATGTTTCTCGCATTGTGAAAAAACAACTTTGCCTAGAGCCATCAAATTTTGAATAACGTAATCCTCAAGCGAAAATGGGCATCTGAAAGCCCTGATTTGGAATTTGGAATTTGTTTTGTTAACGATTTCGTATTTTGTAATACTTTAACGAATTTTTGAGTAACAAACTCAACGATTTCAAAACGAGCAATGGCAACACTGTGCGAGAAAAAAAAGCTTTTTTAATATCCAGCGCGCAAGACTGTGTATCGGAAATTCTAAAGATATGCTCATTTTAAAATTACTATACGATACTGCTGTTGAATTGAATTTTATGATTTGAGTGCGAAGAACATGATATTTAATTAGTTAAGGTATAGCTACATTAGATATCTTTTGGAAGCATGAGACCTTGAAATATGAGCCACGCCTTCGCCGGGAATCGAACCACGGACCTCTGGAATACTTGCCCAGCGTGCAGACCACCACCCCCAACAAGGCACGCTAAGAAGGCGGGAGAAATACATTGCATACTCCCCATTTTAAAGAGCGACTGGGGTTTTTAGGGAACCCAGTCGCCAAATCCTGGGTGTGGAGAATCATCATCAACCACCCATATAGTTCGGGAACCACTGTAGAGACATTAGGTATTTTTTGCAAGTAGGAGACATGAAAAATGAGCAACACCCTCGTCGGGAATCGAACCACGGACTTCTGGAATATGCGCTCAGCATGCAGACCACTACACTACGAAGACATGCGGGAGAAATACCTTATAAAGGTAACACTCATAACGTTAAAAAAACTCCCGTTTGGGAGTAATGTAAAATCTGAGAGATTTCAGATTTTTTTTAATTAATATCTTCACTGACTAAAGCCATGCGAAGATGAGAATAGTCGAAATGGTTTACCACTATTTTTTTTTTTTAATTTTCGAATTTAAATTGGGCAAAGTATTATGTATGAGCGCTTTTTATTTGATTTGATTTATGCTTTTGTGATCTCTTTTTCGGTATAAGCCCTATTTAGATTCCAGCAATGTTTAAAGAATATTTCCAAATAAGGGAATAATTATTTATACATCAGCATTTACTGGGACACTAATCCGATACCAAACAGTTTTGTGAAGCTCTGCTTTCTTTTTACTTCCTTGTACGAAGTAAAAAGGAAGTATTGTAATCGCGAAAAGCTTCAGGCAGTATATTTCAACGAAAATATCCATTTTGACCGCTATCGAATGCAATTTAACGATGTTTTTGCGTGATATCTGTACGTAAGGACAGAATAAAATACTCTTTTCCTTCAAAAAAATTATAAAACTGCTTTAAAATTAATTCTGAAGAGAATTTTTCGTGGCTTCTTACGAACGTATGTACGTACGTGCGCGCGTACGTACGTATCTCGCATAACTCAAAAACGAGTAGCCTCAGAAAGTTGAAATTTTGCATGTGGGACTGCTATAACATGCAGATGTGCACCTCGTATTTTGGTTGCAATCGGTAGCACCAAACGTATATAAATATATTTATAAATATATCCACTATATTACCCGGCTCAGTGATCTCAGTTTCTTTACTCTGATATGTTTGTAAATTGTACATATTTTGCTTTAAAAATGATTGAATTATGTTGTTTTTATCTTCCGGTTAAGGATTTTATGCCTTTGGTAAATCTGTGTGCAATATTTTTAGAATTATCAGCAATTTTAAAGTTGTTTAATTGCCGCTAAACCTGTTTTTAATGGCGGCCACTGATGTTTACATTTGAAACAGGAGACTAGTGGATTTGTTGCCAATCTAGAGAAACTTAGCTTCGCAACAACAAAGATAACGCATTCATTTATTATTGCCAATTAAATCATGCTTAATTCTTTCTGGAATTTTTTCGAGGAAATAAGCGTTTGAGATTTACTTCGTAATTTTTAATATAGATATTTTGATTTTTATGTATTTTTGCCTTCTCGCGAAGTGAGAACTGAATTAATTAAATGAGAAATACTCAATCGTCTGTGAAAAACTGTTTCTTTTTTGTTTTGTTTGCTTAATTTCTTTTATACATAGTTCTAGCTTTATTATAGTATTTGAATAGAACATGTGGCAACGATTAGATAATTCTTTAAATGATATACATTTTGTGCATTCTGAGTTATAACATGAATGAAATATAATACTGTTAATTAAACGTAGCGCCAGAGTGTCGCTATGATAAACAAAGTGAATTTTAAAGAATGCATTTATTCTATTGTGGTTTATGCGCTGTCGGCGAAGTAGGTTTAATTCAATCTAATAAATTTAAATAAAATGCAAGAAAAAATGCGTATATTTTAATATTCCGTACAAGGAAGTCATGTGGTGTACACATCAGATTTTTTATTTTGCATCTACTTCACTAGTGGGTAGACATAAGCAATGTCTCTGCAGATTCTTGATTTAATTTTTTATTTACTTCGATTATTATTAACAATTTATTAACTCATCTGACGTTCTTTAAGATGTCTAATCATAGCAGCATTGGAGATAAATCTAGAAAATACGCAAGTTCTCCCGCCTGAAATTTTCAGTTCAGAAAAGTAAGCGACATTTGACCTTGTGTGGGCTGGGGAGGATACAAATAATGGAAGTAAAACTATTATACAATAAATGTTACAAATCAGTTTTGTAGTTAATACATTGTAATCCCTTTTTCTCCTTCTGGTTGCGTGAAGATTGATGAGAATTCTACTGAAGTGTGAGATTTAAGTAAGTCACGATATTTTATTCAGAAGTCAAACAATAAAAATCAGCGTTATATTTTCACAATTTTCACAGGACTAGATTCGATGGTTTTACCGAACCCCCATCCTCAGCTGCAAAACAAATATAACGCTGATTTTTGTTGTTTGACTTCTGAATTAGTATTTTTCGGCGTGTTATTGTGTCTTAATCACGATATTTTATTTGCTTGTTATATGAACACACACTTCGTTAGTTCTTGTAAAATTTTAAAAATAATATTCTTGTAACATATAGTTTTTACATAGTTATGTTATAGCAGTTAAAGAAATATGTTTTATAAAATGAATATTCACATAATCCCAGAGTTGGATAAAAACAGCCCAGAATAAAGTTAACAGGCAATTATTTAAAAAACAAAGTACCTAACTGAAAAACACGGGAACAGGCGTTCTCATATGTTTAAGGTAATAACTTCATTTCGTCACTTAAAGCTATCTACCTTTTAGAGATTAAAATTGTGAACTTAATTATTAAATTTTATCCTATCCGTAGAATTGAGATTTAAATAAGATAAAAGAAATACTTTTTTGTTGTATAAAATTTAAAAGTGACATTTACACACACATATATATAAATGTCACTTGTGGCTGTTTGTTTGAGAAAGTGTGGCTTGTTTGTAAATATACTAATCTTTGCGGTGATTCTTAATGTAACGGAGAGTTTTTAACTTCGAAAGAATGTAAGGGTAGTAGAATTAATATAATGTTTAGTAGTTTTCCATAAAATGTATAGTATTAGTATAGTATTATTTTAACGTGTTGTTACAAAATAAATCATGACGTAAGAGGAGATGAAAACGTTACTTGTAAAATATGACATTTCTAAAGCACATGATCCTATGCTTTTCTATAACACTTCTTAATGTGATGTAACAATCAATAAAAATATATTATGGATAATAATTTCAAGCTGTGTTTTTTATTTGGAATAACATATGTTGTTAAAATAAGGTAGGTAACAAAAATTGAGCGTTTGTTATTTTTTTTCTTTCAGTTCAGAGTTTTGACTCCCTTGAAGAGGAGATAATTTGAAAGGTAAGTTATTTGTATTTTAATTTATGTTTTATACAGTTATATAATTTATCTTTTATACACTAAAATAGGAAATTCGTAGCATGTTATTAGTAATAAGATAAAAAAGACGGAATTTTAAGCTGTTTGAAAGGTAAGTGCGCAATGAAGAAAATTTACATTATAAGTTTTTTTAAAGAGTCAAAAATTGAATAATATTCCTCTACTACCTCTAAAATTCTGGCAATTTATAATAAAAAGTTTCATCATCTTTATTTAATGTAAACTTTGAAGTTATTTGGCATAACTTATCAAATTTATGTATAATGTATAAAATTATTAATATGATTATAATGTATCAAAATTATGGGTTATGTATTACCATTCTTTTATTCACAGATTAGTCAAACCTGAGAACTATTTTACTTAACAAAGAAATATATACAGGGTTAATTAACATCTGAAATAGGTACTGCATGATATTAATTTATTGCGATGTTCTGTTGGAAATATAAAGTATAACGTTTCATTTAAATTCGAAACGTAATGTAAGAAGAGTATTACCAGTTTTATTTTCTTACTCTATACTTACAATTTTCTTTTACTTGTAGAGTTGCGCGCCTCCAAAAAAAGAGGCAAAAGGGTACTTTTTATCAACTTAGAAATTACAATTGCGTGCTCTTGACGCTCACAAACTACGCCGACCCGGCGGTAAAATAAAAATAAGAAACCTGAAAAGAAATAATAACAAGACTGACTAACTACGAGGCTCTCTAAACGTAACTAACCTCACCGCGTTTACAATACCGCTGCTAATTCAGCAAACTTTGAATATACGTTGAAACGATTAACAATTCTCCGAGGCAAGCACACAGGCCGAAACGCGGGGTTCTTCAATTTCTAACTACCTCCGCGCTCGTGAAGTAAGAAAAACACACTTTCGAACTCGTTTCCTTCTATTTAACTCAGAATACTTCCGCTGATAATTTGAATCCTTGCGCGTTCTACTAAAATTTACATACTCTGGCATTGGCAAGTTCCAGGGGAAAGTAAGGCTTGACAGGAAAGATAGTTTAAACTTAAAATAAATGTTAGTTAAAATAAATATAAAACCCTACATTTGCCGCTGCCAGAATTTGGAAAACTTGGAAGCAGGTCCTACAAACGACCTGTTGTAAAGTTTCCTACAATTCTGAACTAACTTTAAGAGCCTCGTTTACATAAAAAAAAATCTTATGTAACAAAAGGTATACTAAATTTCTGTAGATACTTATTTAAATTCTCTCTTCTTACAGCAACTTTTCCTGGACTTCAGCAATCAATCTTGTTCTTTTCCTTCCAGCATCTGGAAGGAATAAGTATCAGTATCTTTCTAAATACATTATAATTTACACTTTCTTGACACTGAATAAATTTTGGTTTTAAACGATTCGTTTTCCTTAGTTACTGCTTAATTCACATTCATTCAAATATTCAAACATTAATTTAACTTTACCCTGGCTCTCCACCATGTGTGGTGTCAAACGGGAATATTCGTGTTTTAGTCTTACAACACTTCCCCTAACCACCATGATTTGTTAGAATTCAACGACCAAATAGACACACCTTACTCGACATTCTACAACTCGATGAGCTACTTTAACATTCTTAAAATTCAAGTGTAGGTGGAGAACCCTACAAAACATATTCATTCTAACATCCCCCCTCATTCATCTTTAGACATGCAGGCTTTCGCTCTAAAGCATGATTTTATCTACAGTTTAATACTTAAATTTGAATTCATTGCTTTTTTTGAGCATTTACTTTTAGCATCTAAAATTTTATGCTTCTAGACTAAATTCTACTTTTACATAACTTTCAAGTATTTACGTATATTTACAAAATTTTAATACATATGATTTTTACAATTTACCATAAAATGAATAAGAGAAAATAAATTTTTACTTTACTCATTCTTCGCCAAGCTGGCGGCACTGAAACTAAAATTCTTATTAATACAAGAATACGAAGTTATTTTTATCTTCGGCCAAATTTTGGCTTTTAACATAACAGAATTAGTCTTTCGACCAACAGAAATGCTTGTTCTTAGATTTTATACTTAAAGAAAATAATACTTTTGCCTTAGCTAAATAAAGTAAAACAAAACTAAGTCTCAACCGAGACATATTGACTTTCGTCAAAACATAGAACTTCGTATTTACGCATAACATTTCGGAACAAAAGAAAAAAAAATTTATAGAAGATTTTAACTTATCTTTGAGTTTTCGATGATTGAAACTCCGTCATTCTTTTCTGGCAAAACTGTTCCCACGTTATAGGTTTCATGGACGTCAGTTTCTCCTTACTGACCTCCGAGTGTCGTCCACATTGTTTTCTTTTTGCGTCCTCTGCATGCTGGCCTCTTGGCGGAGTAGTCGTCGGGTTGCTGTCTTTTTCGTTTTCCCTGGACGGCTGGTCTTGGCGTCCTCCGGTCTGGAAGTCCTTGAATTCTTCTGTTGTTGGTGGTCTTTTCGTTCCTCCTGCTGTCTTTTTCGTTTCCGGAACGGCGGCCTTGTTTGCACCTGACTCTCTGGCCCTGGAAGCGTTCTCCTTGATGTATAATTTCTACTGCGATACGTTGTAAGTGGTGTTTTTCCTCTTTTTACCAAAGTTTCTTTACGCGGCGGCTTTGCATTCTTGTTTTCTTAAATGCTGGAGTCTGAAAAAGTTTTCATTTTTCTTTTCGGTACCGTCGCATGGGTTGTAGAAGGGCTAGGTTCTCTTCAGTTCTCTGCTTCTTGGGTGGTGGAACGGGTTGACGTTATTTCTGGACCTTCTACTTCTTTTACGCTTGAGTCCTGCAAGAAACTTTTAAGGATTTCAAAATCATTTTGATTATAGTATTTTTTCACCTGGTCTGGACTTGCTTTACAGATTTCCCCTCTCTCGTTCTTAAGGTACAATACGACTCCCTTGATTTCCTGAATTACATAGGGGCCTTCAAATTTTGGAGCTAACTTTGCAGTAAAATTGTCTGGGGCACTTGATAAAGAAAATTTCCGCTTCAACACTTTATCCCCAACTTTAAAATCTGCTTCACGGCGTTTTCTATCGTAATATAACTTTTTGCCTATTTCTTGCCGTATCCGAGCTTTTTTAAGCGCCTGGATCAATAAGTTTTTGCACATCTTTCTTTGTTTAAATTCTTGCTCTCTTTGTTGCACAAAGAATAATTTATCTAAAGGCGTAATTAACTTTCGTCCTAAAAATAATTCTGCTGGGGGGGTTTTTCCCGTAGTATCGTGATTTGCCGTTCTTAAAGCATAAGCTAATTCATTTATGTAGCCATCCCAGCGCTTGTGATGTGTGCTAACGTAACTTGCGAATTATTTTTACAATTGTTTTATTAACTCTTTCTGCTATGTTTGCCTGTGGTCTATACGGAACCATTTTGATATGGCGTATGCCAAGTCCAGTGCATATGTTTTCAAATATTTGACTAATGAATTGTTTACCGTTATCGCTAATGACTTTTATCGGTGCACCGTATTTTAAAATGTATCTGTGTAAGAATGCATCTGCGACTGTGTTTGGCTGACGCGCGTTTAAGTGAAACAATTTCTATCCATTCTGAAAAATGATCTACAATTACTAAAAGAAAACGATTTTTATTTAACTCACTCTGGGGGAAAGGACCAAGAAGATCTATGCCTAAAATTTCATTCGGAAATGTAGCGCGAATGCTATTTAAGTACCCGGCCGGGCTGTAATTAATATCATTTATTAACTGACATTGATTGCAGGACCTGACATACATACGCAGTTACTATTTTGTATAATTGCGGAAAATATACCGCCTCGCGTACCCTTTTTAAAGTCTTTCTGACCCCTAAATGACCCGCTGTTTTCGCGTCGTGTAATTCCTTCAAAATGCTTAATCGAAGCGAGGCCGGGATGACTGGTTTGTACTCGAGATTTTCGTTTGTTGTTTTCGTATAAAATAATAAATTATCTATTATTTCATAGTTTTCTGCTCTACTTCTTATCGCATCGATATCTGTGTGCTCAAAGCTTTCGGGGTCTTTCAAATATGCATAGATATACTTCCAAATTCAGGATCAGCTTTCAGTTCAGCAATAATTCGTATCTCTAGAATCTAAAATTTTTGAAGTCAACACAGCGCATTTAAGTTCATTTCCTTCATCGTCCAGTTTTATACGAGAAAGTGCGTCAGCTACATTGTTTTCCTTACCCGGTTTATATTTTATTATGAGATTATATTCTTGGAGTTTTAAAGCCCATCTTATTAACCTGGGCGTTAGGTTTTTTCCCCGAGTAAAGTCTACCAACAGCCGCATGATCCGAAAAGACTGTTACTGGCGCTTTGCCGAAATAAACTCGAAATTTGTGTACAGCCATTAATACGGCTAATGTTTCTCTCTCTGTAGCTGTATAATTCCTTTGTGTCTGATTCAACGTTTTACTAAAAAATGCCAAGGATGGCCTATTTTGCATAAGAACCGCACCCACCGCATAGTCCGACGCATCTGCTGCAATTTCCAGGTTTTCGTCCCCCTCCGGGAATTTCAAAACAGGGGCATTGATGAGCGCTTCTTTTAATCTTTCAAATGCGGTATTTGCTTCCTGCTGTCCACGTAAATTTACTTTTCTTTCTTTTAATTACTAACAAGTGGTTCAACAATATTAGCGAAATCTTTTATGAAAGACCGATAGTAAGAACATAACCCAAGGAAAGAAGAAAGTTTCTTGGCGGTGTTGGGCGGTGGGAAATTCTTGATTGCTTTTATTTTTGAATCTTGAGTTTCTATACCCTTTTGCGAAATTTTATAACCGAGATATTTAAGTTCTTTAGTTGCGAACTTGCATTTTGAGGCGTTAATTGTAAGACCGGCCTCTTTTAATAATTTAAAAACTTCTTCTAGATCTTTAATATGTTGTTCCAACGTACTACTCGTTATAATTATATCATCTAGATAGATTAAAGTCGATTTTCCTAGGACAGGCTTTAGAACAATGTCCATAGC